TAAAATCCCCAGCAGAGTCTCCAATTCTGTGATATGGTGGAAGAACTGACTATTTTTGGAATGCTGGTTTGCGTTTTGCATTTGTCTTTGCAAAATGTCGCGGTAAGCAAGAGTCGCCACCGACTTTTATTTTATCCAACAAGAAAAGGAAAAAAGCACAGAAAAATTCCTTTTTCGAGATTATTCTGAGTACGGGGGGTAGATTATAGAAAGGGAAGGTATTAGCACCCTTTCTATCCGTAGTTATCTACGGGCTCTTAGGTACTTGCTCATTATTTTCAAAATTGTTTTTCTTTGTGTTGTGGGTTATGAAAAGTTTTTGTTTTAACTTCGATTTAACTCTTGCTTCTGTCTTCAAGAGTGTAATGAAGTGTTTTGAAAACTTTGCTTGTAAAGGAGTGTAGGTGTGAAAAAAAATTTATTTTGATTGAGCAAGTACTTAAGAACTAATCTACCTACTCGAAAAAAGAATCATTCTATGTTCGTTTCCTTTAGACAGCGCTATCCCACTATTAGTGAGTAGGTAGCACCGTCGTTGGAGTTTTGAGGATCAATTCGAAAAGGGACATACGATCACTAAAGCAATGTTAGGACGTCTTAGTAATAACCCTAATATCTTAGATCAATTATCCGAGGCAACTATATCCGAGGCAACCTTTCCGAGGCAACTTTGATCTTTGGACAAAAAGACGACCACTAAAGCATCCTATACTCAATGACCGTTTACGAAGGCAACCAAGTGGGATGTACCCTAGGAGTGCGCATGTGCGAGTGTGTTTATTTCAGTTATTTTTATCTATGCACAATTAAGGGGTGATCTAACTGTTTAAAATTAGACATTCATTCTTGTCATGCAAACCCTATTACCAAACATCTAGCAGTTGAATATTTGCATAAATTAAAGGTGCGGAATTTAAACTAAATTATTACAAGGCGTCGGGTATTTACATCGCCAAAAACAACCATTTGAAAATAAAATAAAAGCGGTAAAAGTAAATGTCCTAATTAAAATATTACAAACTGTGAGCAGATACAATAATTGGATAAAAATAATAATAAAGCGTGCGATGAGAATTAGATCGACGAGAAACTAGGGTTTTGACCCTTCTAACCTAATTAAAAGAAAAAATGTTTTTTTTTGTTGTTTTTAATATTTTTTAAAGAAAAGAATTAAGTTTTTCTAAATTAAATATAAAAATTAATTAGTGATTAAACCGTAAAAATAATTAAATGACCTATTTTTGTTTTATTTTGTTATTTTAGGAAAAAAAATAAAATATAATTAAGTTAGTAACAAAATCCTAATTGTTCTAATTAATTTTAATTTATTTACAAAACAATTAAAGTTACCTAAAATTAAATTAAAACCTAAAATTAATTATTTGAGTTTATTACAAAAAATCAAAGGTTGTGAAAAATGTTAAGTTTTATGAAAAAAAAGATTTTAAACAGAAAGAATAAAAATAGGTAAAAGGATAAATAGGAAGGAAGAAAATCAAAACCAATAAGGGTGGTTGTTGAACCCACGCTCTTAACCTTCTCAGGATGTCTGCCTCACCATGTATTGGTGTCATGTGTTGACTGTTCTGTTTTGGCCGTTTGTGTTTTGGCCTCAACGTTCTTGTAGGAAGAAAATCAAAACCAATAGGGGTGGTTGTTGAACCCACGCCCTTAACTTTCTCAGGATGTCTGCCTCGTCACGTATTGGTGTCATGTGTAAGTTGTTTGTTTTGGCCATTTGTGTTTTGGCCTCAACGTTCTGTAATGAACCTGCATGGGATCCTGTCTAATCTGCAGTGTTGAATCTCATGAACACATTAAATAAATTACTATATATTATGAAATACAAATAAAGCCAATATATGAAAAAAATTAATGTTAAAACCGATATGGCATGTATGAATGATTATACCCTTTTGATCATGGAGATCAAATCAGCCTTACCCTTACTGGAGAAGTAGTGATATGAATGCTTTTATGCCCTTTTGATCATGGAGATCAAGTCAGCCTTACCCTTACTCGAGAAGTAGTGAGATGTTGGTTTGTAACCGGAATGACTTGTTTATAGTGAGAGAGAGATTTATAATAAGGATTTCAAGGTTTTAGGGTTCCTGAAAGAATTTGATATTCTGACAGTGTTGTGACAAAGATTAATTTTTTCTCCTCCCTTGTTTTTGTGAAAAGAATGGGATTATATAATAGAAATTAGAGAGAGAAAAAAATGGGCATTGAATGTGCAATTGGGCCTCCAATGTTCACTTGGGTTCGTCACGTTCCAGGCTAAATCGCAGGGGCTTAAGTGCAATTTTTGAAGTTGAAATGTGAAAACAAAATGTAGTCGACATTGAGAACTAACTCCTGTCCGAAAATGGACTCAATCGGATAAAAGGTGAATTAGTTATGAATTTTTGAAGTTTCAGTTCAGACAAACTTATTTTGAGCACCAGTGTCGACTCTGACACGTTCTTCAATAAAAAAACTGGTATTGATTGGAGCATAATTCGGTCTCGACTTTTGAAACAAAGTTATAGATCTCTGAGTCAGTAACCTTGTGTAAAAAGATGGGCTCGATCCGATAAAAATTGACCGAGTTATGAATTTTCGAAGTTTCGGCCCAGATGAAATAATATTCAGCATTCAGGATTTTCGGTGCGTCACACGCACTCTGAGCATAAAATGAAGGCCTTTTGAATACCGTTCGAACTCGATACCTCCTGTGAAAATGTAGCCAACCCAATTTGTGAAATTTTGGCGCCGGAACCAGCTCGATACAATGAAAATCAACCAAGTTATGATTTTCTGAACATGATGCAAATAAATTTCTGTCACAAATTTTCTGTACGAAAATACTTGATAAATCCGCATTTTTGAAGACCTTATGATCGAAATTGATTTCCAGCCGTGAGAGATGAAAACGTAGATGACATCAAGACGGAATTTTGGCCACCTGAACGGGTGCAAAACGAGCCACGATCTTCAAGTTATGAATTTTTTTGCGCGTAAAAACTGCACTTTTAGCATACTTTTTCACCATATTTCTTCGAGAAAACTCACACATTCGGATACCTTCTTTAAAGAATTGAATCTTGTGTCGAACCTGAATTTGAGAATACGTTATCAGAGATATCTTGGCGAAAGAACACCTGAATATGACGCGCTGGGTTGGACTTGTGAATCTTTGAACCCCGAATCGTTGCAAAACGGCGAACCGATCTTCAGCACGGAAAATACTCTGAGAATATTCATTGACGAAATAAACGTCACTTGTAACCTGAAGAAGCTTGATAAATATACCTTTATTTCATAACCATAAAACCAATAATATGCGTGTATGAAAAGAGGGCAAATTTTGGGGTACAACACTAACGCTTCAATAAAAACAAATGGAATATTGTAGAAACAAAATGATCAAAAGATAAACTAATAATGATGATGCTGGTAAGATTGCAAAAGGTCAAGGTGGTACTAACAAGAATGGTGCTAATCAGAACCAGAAGACCAAGAAGAAGGTTGACATGAAGGAGATTCAATACTATTGTTGTAAGAAGCTTGGTACTATAACAAGAGTTATGATGAGGACAAGGGTGTGGCTCAATTTTCTCATGATGGTAGAAGTGAATCTGAAAATGTTATCTTGATGGTTGCAACATATTTGATACATGTTGCAGCAATCATATGACAAGCATCAAGAATTGGTTTGTCAAGTTGAATGAATCAGTTAAAAGATCGATTTATTTTGCAGATATGGTGACATCAGAAGGAATGGGCAACATCTATGTGAAAAGAAGGGTGAACATGAAGCTATCATTAATGATAACTTGCATGTTCCCTCAATGGCAAGTAATTTGACGAGTTTGGATCAATTACTTGACAAGAATTATACAATGCAGTTGGAAGCGATGGAACTTAAGATGCTTGATGAACTGTCTAGGCTAGCTAATTCTGAAGGCACCTTTGTCAACCAACAGGATATTCAAGGTCATGATCAACATGCTTGATCATCAATGTCTTGCATCAACCATGACTAAAGATAATAATTGGGTTTGGCATAAAAGATTTGGCTATCTCAATTTCAAGAGTCTTAGCTTGATGCACATGAAAAAGATGGTGTCTGAACTTTCAAGGATTGAAGCGCCAAAGTATCTATGTGAGAAATATTGCTTAGCCAAACAGGCTAGGAAGCCATTCAAACATAACTTGCCAATGAAATCACAACGAAAGCTTGAGATTATACACTCACATGTGTGTGGTCCATTTAAAGTAAAATCACTATGAGATAATTTCTATTTCTTGACCTTCATAGATGAATTCACTACGAATTTGTAGATTTACTTGTTAGAAAATAAAAGTGAAGTTTTCAAATTTCAAAAAATTTAAATTGTTGGTTGAAAAGAAAGTTGGAAACACTATCAAGAGGTTGAGAACTAATAGTGGTGGTGAATATATCTCAACTGAGTTTGTGAGAAGGAAATAATTGGGCATGAAGCGATAGCACCATACACACCTCAACACAATGACATTACTAAAATAAAGAATATAAGCATCTTGAATATGGCTAGAGGTATACTCAAAGCAAAGCAAATGCCTAAGCACTTCTAAGGAGAAGCCACTTCAACAGATGTATATCATCAACAATGTCTAACAAAGAAGTTGAACAACAAAACTCCTTATGAAACTTATCTCAAAATATTTGGCTCACTGTGCTTTAGACATGTTCATGAACAACTTAGAAGAAAGTTAAATGATAGAAGCCAAGATATGGTTATGGTTGGATATCATTCAATGGGTAACTACAAGTTATTCTCACCAACTGAGAACAAGGTGGTGATCATCATAGATGTGGAGTTTGATGAAAACAAAGGTTGGAATTGGCTGAAAATTCTAGAAAATCCAGTGCAAGAAAGTGAAAGTTCAAGCAACATCAGAACTAATATACATGACAAAGAACATGTTGCACTAGCTGAGCCTGCACAAACTCAAGGAGTGACACTAGTGGTGTTTTAAAATACAAAAATCTCCACATCATCACCAGGTCCTAGATTTGATATTACATTCTTCCAATCTTCATCATTAAAAGACATTATTGTGTCTTGCTTGTATATCTGAACGGTGCACTTTGTGTTATTAATGATCAAGATACTAGTAAGACATTCGACACCTCTGTTATCAGATGTTGAGGAATAAACAACACATAAAACTATTCCCTTCACGAGACAATCAATGTCCTTAGGAACTTGAAACTGTGCTGAAGGTCCTGAACTTGAAACTGTGCTGAAGGTCCTTCACATGTATAGGCTAACCAAACGGGATAGTTGTTACCCGAAAGGAAAGAAGCACAAGAATTATTGGTTGTCAATCCCTGCATCATGAACAAATGCTTAGTTATATATGTAATTCTAACTATGCATGAAAATGGAAATTCTGTGCCATTAATATGGTGAAAATAGTGTTACGGATTCCTACCAATGTAGAGAAGAGAAACAAAATGTACTAAAGCTTTTACAGCTCTGTATTTGTAAAAAAACAATTATCCAGTAACCTATTTATTGATATATTGATACTTTAAAAACAACTGCTGAATCAGTACTTTTGTACTTTGTAATAAGAAAATCCTATGTATAATTCAGAACAACAATAATGTAATTTTATTATTCTGATATCTAGCGGAAATTAACTCGTATAGCTACCACAAATATTCAATTATCTTTATTAAGTTAAACGTGATTTATGTGTCAAATATAGACATTCAACAATTAAAAAGAAATAACGTAAAAGAAGAAACGATATATCGGAAAAGAAAACGGTGAGTAATTATGTCAAAATTTTCTTCAGGTCTATGTTACACATCTGACCAGTGACCACTAACATTTATATCAGTTTATCTGATACCTGAATAAACTTGTTGCGCTTTCAGAAACATTTTTACTACGATTTTAAGAAATAAAGAAAATCATTTGATGCTCTCTTAATTAATAATAAATATTAGTAAAGGTAAAAGGATAGAGGAGGAACCTGCGATATGCTCCTCCCTCCCAAGAATATCCATGACTATTTGAGAACTTCCCGTTCCAATCACAAGTGATTTCAAGGAAAGATTTGAGACTTGTAATCCATCTGATGTTGTTTCCAACTCAGTATAATTCACATCATATATATATAGATCATCTATAATTTATGTAATTCGTGACTTAGTTGATTCTCTGAATTGATCTTCCCATGTCTCATAACAAATCATGCATTTGAATCTTGTTATTCTTTTCAACTTTTACGAGGCTGCGCTCTATGAGAACAGTTCCAATATCAGCGTGAAGTCCACAGCCATTAAGTATCACTAAAATCATGCATTTTCTCTAATTTTGATAATGCACTTCTCCATTCTTTTTGCGTCCTCTCCGATAAGTAAGATCCAAGGACTTCAAGAGCCAATGGCAATTCTCCACAATAAGCAACTACATTTCTAGAGAGTTCATTAAAATCTTCTCTAGGGCTTGGTTGTCGAAAAGCATGCCAACTGAAAAGTTCAAGGGACTGGTTGTCGTCCATGCCCGTCACTGTGAGTGAATTTAGAAGGTATACATCTCTGGTTGTAATAATTATTACACTTCCCGGACCAAACAATTTAGGATTTTCACATAGGGCTTTTAATTGCCGCGACTGGGTCACATCATCAAGTACGATGAAAACCGTTGAATATATATATATATATATATATATATATATATATATATATATATGAGAATATTTTCTAGAATATTCTTTAGTGTATTTTAGAATAAGATAGAATATCTATGTAATTAATACTAAAATTTATATTTTCTTCTATATAATGCATTTTCTGCTGTGTTATTCAAAGACACGGTTTATTCAAATATTTTTTAATCTTTCATATTTTAACATGGTATCCAAAGCCTACTAAGATATAATCTTTCGTCGTGTTTTACCCGGTTGACCCATTGTCTTATGGTGAGGAATTTTTGACAAACCGTATCATAACTCTGATTTGTCTTTCATACATTGTCATAACTAATTCTGGCATCAGTTTTCGAAATTTTTCGGTCACCACCACACTTTCGTCGTCGTTGCTACTTTTTTTCGGCGACCTTCCGGCAAACTAATCATACCGGCATAAGCGCCTCCCCCAATCCCGACGATTTTTTCACCGCCCCAATCACCACAGTGCAACTATTCCAGATCCAGTCTCAGATTTTATTTTCCACTCATGGAAAATTGTGATCCAGTCCGAACATAATCTTGTTCACCCGATATATTTTCTCTCTTTCAGATTCTCATGGCTACTCCTCGGAACTTTACGTTAAACTACGATGATTTTCTTAGGTGGTATCAGTATTATCAGAACTCAAATTATACTGATTTGGTTGTCCACACTGGTAATCCATTTGCTCGCCTCTCTCAATCATCTTCTCTTGGACCTTGGATCCTTGATCCTGGTGCGTTTGATCATGTTACCGGTAATAAAAATATTTTCTCTTCCCTCTCTACTTCTGGTTTCTTACCTACTATAACTTCTACCAATGGTTTTCTAACCCAATCCGAAGAAATTAGTACTGTTCAAATTCTACCTTCTTTCTCTTACTTATGTTCTCTATGTACCTAATTGTCCATTTAATTTACTTTCAATCAGTCGTTTAACTCGTTCTCTTGATTGTATTGTCACCTTCACTAATAATAATGTTACCCTGCAGGATCAGAGTTTGGGACGGACGATTGACATCAGATGTGAGTCTCAAGGCCTTTATTAGCTCTTAGTGTCATCTCAGACATGCTCAGCCAAAGACTACTCACTATCCATGCTCAATTAGGTCATTCTAGTCTTCCAAAACTATAGAAGTTGGTGTCAAGTTTATCGAAGGTATCTAATTTACATTGTGAGTCGTGTCAGTTAGGGAAACACACTCGTAGTCAATTTTCTAATCGAGTCAACAAACGAGCTTCGTCTCATTTTGCTTTAGTTCACTCCGATGTTTGGGGTCCCTCGCGTATTGTCTCTACTCTTGAGTCTAGGTATTTTGTTACCTTTATTGATGATTTTTCACGTTGCACATGGTTACTTTTAATGAAAAATAGATCAAAATTATTTTCTATTTTTGAAAAAATTTATAAAGAAATAAAAACTCAGTTTGGTGTGTCTATTCGTACCTTAAGAAGTGATAATGCTCGTGAATACTTATCCCAACAATTTTAAACTTTTATGTCCAGTAATGTTATTCTCCACCAAACATCTTGCCCTCACACACCTCAATAAAACGGGGTAGCTGAATATAAAAACTGATATCTCGTAGAAATCACTCAGACCCTACTTCTCCATGGTAATATTCCTCTTCGGTTTTGGGGGGATGATGTGTTCACGATATGTTACCTCACAAATCTCCTGCCCTCATCTATCCTTAATAATAAAATCCCCCATTCAATCTTGTTTTCTAACTATCCTCTTCACCTAATTCATCCTCGAGTCTTCGGGTCTACGTGTTTTATACATAATATCTTCCCTGATCTTGATAAACTATCAACTCGATTACTAAAGTCTATCTTTCTTGGTTATCACCAATCTCAAAAGGGTTATCGTTACTACTCACATACTCTACAATGATACCTCGTATCGGTCGATGTTACCTTCTTCGAGTCTGTTCCATATTTTAAGTCCAGCCAAGTAATTCTAGAACCCCTTCAGGAAAGTACTCCCACACCTTTTCTGAAATTCCCATTTCCCATTATCCCCCACCATTCTAGGGAACCTAACCCACTAGAAAACCCTACGGTTGACCACCCCACTTCTCGCCCACTTCAAGCATATCAGCATCGAAAACCCACGTTTTTCGTACCCATCCCTGAGGCAGTACATGTTCCTGAGGTCATTGCAGATTCTCCTTTGACGCATTCGCCATCGTCGGATCAGATCCTGCAACCTGAATCTGGTCTTCTGATTTCCCTTCGAAAAGGTATGCATCAAACACGGAATCCTTCTTCACATTATATTTATCTATGTTATCATCGTCTTTCCCATTTTCAGTATACTTGTTTGTCATCTTTGTCTTTTGTTTCTATTCCTAATACTCCAGGTGAGGCATTATCTCACCCTGAGTGGAGGCAAGCAATGATAGATGAAATGTGTTCTCTTCAAAGCAGTGGTACCTAGGAAATGGTACCTCTACCTCCTAGGAAATCTATAGTAGGTTGTCGTTGTCTTTATACACTGAAGGTTGGACCAGATGGTAAGATCGATCAGTTTGAAGCTCGCCTAGTAGCCAAATGATACACTCAGATTTTTGGGTTGGATTATAGTGATACCTTCTCGCCTGTAGCCAAGATGGCATCTGTTAGACTTCTTCTAGCCATTGCATGCATTCGACATTGGCTTCTTCATTAACTTGTCATCAAAAATGCCTTTTTACATGGTGATCTTGAAGAGGAAGTATATATGGAGCAACCACCTGGGTTTTTTGCTCAAGGGGAGACCTCGAATATGGTTTGTAGGATACACATGTCTCTTTATGGTCTTAAGCAATCTCCGAGAGTTTGGTTTGGAAGATTTATTACTGTAATACAACAGTTTAATATGATCCGTAGTGAAGCTGACCATTTTATGTTTTATCATCACTCTGTCCAAGGATGTATCTATCTTATTGTACATGTATATGATATTGTCATAACTGGCAGTGGTCAGCATGGGATACTCCAGTTGAAATAACATCTCTCGAACCAATTTCAGACAAAAATATCTTGGTAAACTCCACTACTTCTTGGAAATTGAGGTGGCCCAATCTAGAGATGGTTTGGTGATTTCTCAGCGAAAATATGCTATAAATATTTTGGAAGAAACATGGTTGTTGAATACTAAACCAGTTGATACTCCTGTGGATCCAAGTGTCAAACTGCTACACAATCAGGGGGGGCTCTATCTGACCCAGAAAGGTATAAGAGATTGGTTGGAAATTTGAATTATCTCACAGTCACTCGTCCAGACATTTCTTTTGCAGTTAGTGTGGTAAGCCAGTTCTTAAATTCTCCTTGCCAGGAACACATGAATGTTGTTGTCCGGATTCTAAGATACATCAAATGTGCTCCAAGAAAAGGTCTCGTGTATGGAGATAAAGGACATACTCAGATAGTTGAATACTACGATGTTGATTGGGCAAGGTCACCCATTGATAGACGATCCACCTCTGGGTATTGTGTACTTGTTGGAGGAAGCCTTATATCCTGAAAAAGTAAGAAACATAATGTAGTTGTAAGATCAAGCACCGAGACAAAGTATAGGGCCATGACGATGGCAACATGTGAACTTATTTGGTTAAATCGGTTGCTCAAGGAACTTCTAATTGAAAAAGCAAGACCAATGACACTTATTTGTGATAATCAAGTTGCTTTGTACATTGCTTCAAATATGATCTTCCATGAGAGGACCACACATATTGAGATAGACTGTCACTTTGTCAGAGAGAAGATCGAGTCAGGCGACATTGCTACAAGCTTTGTCAACTCGAATGATCAATTGGCATATGTGTTTACAAAATCTCTTCAAAGTCCTAGAACCAATTATATATGTAACAAGCTTGGTGCATTTGACTTATATGTTCAAGCTTAAGGGAGTGTTGATAATTATATATTATATGTATATAAAGAGAATATTCTCTAGAATATTATTTAGAATATTCCTCAGTGTATTCTAAAATAAGATAGAATATCTATGTAATTAATATTAGGATTTTTATTTTTTCTTATATAATGCATTTTTCGGTGTGCTATTCAAACACACGATTTATTTAAATATCTCTTTGTCTCTCGTATTTCAACAAAAATATTTTTCCCTTGAAGTCTTGTCTTGATCTTAGCTATCCCCGATGCAATGCTATGTATCTTGGCCTTTAATTTTAGGAGATCTGAAAGAAGTTGTTGTTGTAGAAGAATAATCCCTCTACTATCATTTTCACAACTTTCTCGAATACTTTCAATGAAACTTGTTCTACCCTCAAATTTATGATGGATATGATTGTAGATAGCTTTACTCGTGGTTGTTTTTGTTGAAAATATTAAACTTGATTTGGGCCTAAATTTATTAATTGGTTTTTGGACTTAGTTATTTTGGGCTTAAGTAGTTTTCTAGAGAATTCTTGTAATATATGGAATCTCTAGATATTTCTTATAATTGTAATATTTTCTAGAATGGTGTTTGGATCTCTAGAGTTGAGAACTCTCTAGAATTAGTGTGTCTAGAGTTCTCCTTAGAGTACTATAAATAGAGATGTAATCTCACACATTTGCATCAAGCAAAAATACAAAGTTCTTCTCCTCCATAAAGAATTATCCTACTTATCAAATTTATATTCAAACCTTCAATATTCCCACACACTTCTCCTTAACATAAAAGGTATTATTTCCAACAAAGTGGTATCAGAGCTTCAAGATCCACAAAATGGCGAATGGTGGTTTTCCTTTCCAAATGTCGATGCTCACAAAGAACAACTATGATAATTGGAGTATTAAGATGAAGGCGCTACTAGGAGCTCAAGATGTGTGGGATATTG